GCCTGTCTCAAGTCCTCCACCATCATCCCTGTGCCCAAAAAGCTAAGGCCAACAGGACTAAATGATTACAGACCGGTCGCCCTTACATCTGTGGTAATGAAGTCTTTTGAGCGCCTGGTCCTGGCACACCTCAAAGCCATCACAGACCCTCTCCTGGACCCCCTTCAGTTTGCCTACAGAGCCAACAGGTCTGTGGACGACGCAGTTAACATAGCCCTCCACTTTACCCTACAGCATCTGGATGCCCCAGCATCCTACGCCAGGATCCTGTTTGTGGACTTCAGCTCTGCCTTCAACACCATCATCCCTGCCCTGCTTCAGGACAAGCTCTTCCAGCTGAACGTGCCCTACACCACCTGTAAATGGATCACAGACTTCCTGTCTGACAGGAAGCAGTGCGTTAAGCTGGGAACACAAGTCTCTGACTCCAGGTCCATCAGCACCGGAACTCCTCAGGGCTGCGTCCTTTCCCCTCTGCTCTTCTCCCTGTATACCAACAGCTGCACCTCCAATCATCTGTCCGTCAAACTACTGAAGTTTGCGGACGACACCACCCTCATTGGGCTGATCTCTGGTGGGGATGAGTCTGACTATAGGTGGGAAGCTGACAATCTGGTGACCTGGTGTAGCCAGAACAACTTAGAGCTAAATGCTCTAAAGACAGTTGAGATGGTTGTGGACTTCAGGAAGAATACAGCCCCACTCACCCCCATCACCCTGTTAGACTCCCCAGTCAAAATTGTAGAGTCCTTCCGATTCCTGGGCACTATTCTCTCCCGGGACCTCAAGTGGGAACTGAACATCAGCTCCCTCACCAAGAAAGCTCAACAGAGGATGTACTTTCTACGGCAACTGAAGAAATTCAACCTGCCAAAGACAATGATGGTGCAATTCTATGCAGCGATCATTGAATCCATCCTCACCTCCTCCATAACCGTCTGGTACGCTGCTGCCACTGCCAAGGACAAGAGCAGGCTGCAGCGTATCATCCACACTGCTGAGAAGGTAATTGCCTGCAATCTACCAACCCTCGAGGACCTGCACACGACAAGGTCCATGAGGCGAGCGAGGAAGATTATGGCCGATTTCTCCCACCCTGGACACTCTCTGTTTCAGCTACTCCCCTCCGGCAGAAGGCTTCGGTCCATCAGGACCAAAACCTCACGCCATAAAAACAGTTTCTTCCCATCTGCTGCTGGCCTGTTAAACAAGGCCAAGGGCTTACACTGTTTTTAACATTTTATCTACATAATGACACCTTGCCGATATTAACTATGTTAACCTATTTGTATTTTTTATTTTTAAATTATATCTTAAAGCTATTTTATATTCGATATTTATTCAATTTTATATACTTCAGCCCCTTGGTGTTAGACTTTTAACCCTTAATATAGTAAGACTTGTTTAAAACTTATTTAAGATTTTAGATTCCTATATGTTGAATGTATGCACCATCCTGCCAAAGTAAATTCCGTGTCGTTGTGAACTTTCATGGCGAATAAAACCCTTTCTGATTCTGAAGAAGTTCGAGCTTTAGAAAGAATTACTAATATTTCCTAGAAGTTAAGGGAGGCAAGACTTAGATTACGAGTGTTAACCAAAATCTTTTTCAGGAGGGTGTTTTCCCAATACAGTAACTGTTGCAAAATAACTACAAATTGACAATTGGAATTATTTTCTGCATATGAAAACACAGGATCTGTTGGGATAACAATGAAACAAACGGGGCATTTTCTCACGGCTAATCCACCCTTGGTACTCATCGTGGCAACCTGCCAATAACTAACCACGAACCTCGGCAACAAGCGGAAATGCACTACCAATGGGTCATGACAGCGCCGCGATCGTTTGGTCATGCATCGAGAAGCGACAAAAAGGAGATGCAATGAGAGGGGCCATGGAGATACCACAGGTGGAGAGCCGAAGGAGCAGCGGGAGGCCGCGGGGGGGGGGGGGGCAGGATGCGGTAGAATGAGATGTGAGGACGGCGGATGTGACGAGAGAAGAGGCACAGATTCGAATTTCACGGAAAGAGAAAATCGGAGCAACCGACTCCGATTGGACACAAACCTGTAAAATAATGAACACCAATCGATCTCTTGGCATAGCATCGACATCCTGTCTCTGCTCTGGTATGGATACATTGCCCACTTGTCTCTCCACTATCTAGTGAGTGCAACTCTCTCATCTTCATTCATATCTCCTGCTGTTTATTTCATGAAGAAATGGCAGTAGCGGGTGGGGCTTTGACTCTACCACAGAGATTATCAGAGGCCAATCTTACCACAATTACGTACCCCATTGTTATCCTGCTTGCGTGTCATGAGATACATTCGGAACTCTCGCAGAACAATGCAAGAAAAAGCGCGAACGAGCGGATATCACTACTTCTGAGATCCCTTCAAGTGACCTCTGTAACACGGCTTGGGGCAGTACTTTCCCAACCACCTTGCTATGCTACAGAGAGTATTGCTTTTTGCATGGCAGTCAATTTGATAGTTAGAATTCTCAGAGTTGGAATATAGACAACTTGCTAAATCAGATGTAACATAATGGTATTGTGTACATTCACTGGTAACCAGGCTGAGGCCATTAACTCGGTAGCTACATTCGACAACCCGTTTTAAATATAGGCGGCTGCCTGGATTAGAACTCACATTCTCAGTGTTGTCAGCTCAGCGCTCTGGCCTCTGAAACACCCAGCTACCCTGCTACCACCAACATTGCTGAACTCCAACGTTTTTACTGGAATTGGGCAGTCAAAGCATGGACCATGTGACTTCGCACTTTTCCAAATATACACGTGAAGGCGATGGGTAGGTGCATCTGCAATCCATCAACTTTGAGATAAAGAGATGATACGGCTGAATCACTCACAACTGAATCTCTGATAGTTGCTCTACATAAGCCAATAAAATGGGCATATGTGGCAGGGGTGCTCTAAGCTGATCCACATGAAGTTGCTGGCATTTGAGCACTGTCTGAGACTGATATTGGAGATTTAGCGGCAAGACGGGAGAAGCAATGCAGACGTCGGTAAAAGAACATGTCAGGTGAGTGTTATAGATACAGTTAGGTCAAAATTGTTGCAATGGGTGCAACGTATATGTGTAGATATGGGGTTGGCCGGTTGCCGATACAGGCGTTAGCATGGTCTCTATGAATCCGGCGACCAAGGGGAATACCGAGGAGCACAGTGGGATGCTGTTATACGGCAGATCTCGGAGGTCGCGATGTTGAAGATGATGTGGACAACATGCACACTAATGACATGTTGAATATTTGTGTTAATTTACAGTAAAGATGTATTCGAAATGTATTTTCAAACTTAGTAATACATATTAGCCTCAAATACCATACAACCACGTTGATTATTTGATTAAAAACTGAGTTAATACAATATCAGCACGGTGAGAAAATCAGGATTAGAGTTCTCAAGAGCTGTACTCGGTGCAACTCACAGACGTGCACATTGAGAGTAAACATGCAACTCAAATATTTCTTGACAAAAAATGAGGAAAATGTGACCACAAACAATGACTATGTGAGGTACGCACCACCAGTGGTTGCTGTCTGGATTCTTGTTTCAACAGTGGTGGACATACAAAACTGGCAGCAGGAGTCCACCCTTGCCCCTGAGCAGCAATAGTCCACCCTTGCCCCTAGCAGCAGGAGTCCACTATGCCCCTAGCAGCAATAGTCCACCCTTGCCCCTAGCAGCAATAGTCCACCCTGGTCCCGAGCAGCAGGAGTCCACTATGCCCCTAGCAGCAATAGTCTACCCTTGCCCCTAGCAGCAATAGTCCACCCTTGCCCCTAGCAGCAATAGTCCACCCTTGCCCCTAGCAGCAGGAGTCCACTATGCCCCTAGCAGCAATAGTCCACCCTGGTCCCGAGCAGCAGGAGTCCACTATGCCCCTAGCAGCAATAGTCTACCCTTGCCCCTAGCAACAATAGTCCACCCTTGCCCCTAGCAGCAATAGTCCACCCTTGCCCCTAGCAGCAGGAGTCCACTATGCCCCTAGCAGCAATAGTCCACCCTTGCCCCTAGCAGCAATAGTCCACCCTTGCCCCTAGCAGCAATAGTCCACCCTGGTCCCGAGCAGCAATAGTCCACCCTTGCCCCTAGCAGGAGTCCACCCTTGCCCCTAGCAACAACAGTCCACCCTTGCCCCTAGCAGCAATAGTTCACCCTTTCCCCTAGCAACAACAGTCCACCCTGGCCCCACGCCGTGACCAAAGTGGAACGAGTGCGGTGCTCCGGTCCACTGGTGGCCCTGAGCAAAGTGGTGGAAATTCCGATTTCATTTGAGGGTGGTTCCTGTCTAGACACTTGATGAGCACTGTTAGCTTCCCACAAAGCGATGCCCATTTCATTGCTCTTGCGAGCTATGACGATTGATCACGATCAGCTACATCGACGCCCAACGGTAATTGAGCAATTGGCCTTTCGTAAGCTGAGGGCTCTGTGCTAAGAACTTGGCCCCCCGGGTTCGATTCCTAGCCACGGAAAACACCAAGAGGTGTAAAACATGTCCTGGACCTTCCCCAAGTCGACGCGTTAAGATTGAGGATGTAAATACGTGCTCGCTGACAGCACTTGCATCATGAGATGTTTTTTTTATATATATGGCTTGTCGACCAAGAAAAGCCTGAATCTTGAGACTATTTTTGCAGGAGGTTCATTCCAATTTGAGTAATTTCCGGTGTCATTTTTAACATTTGCCAAATTTGTGCCTTGACACCGACACACGATGGCTCTACTTTTTCGAACGACGTCACCGGATATTTTAACGTCGGCTGTGAAGAAGACTGCGCAATAGGTTACGGTTAACACGGCCTCGGTATTAACCAAGGCTGCCACCGGATTCACACCGTGAAACCGTCTGCAACGACCAAAAAAAAACCGCGGGGAATGCGGTCCCACAAACAGGCCAAGCCACCCGCCACTGTCGCTGCCTGGCCCGAGGGGTGCCGCGCGAGCCGCTCTCCGCACTTACCCCGAGCGACCCCGCGGACGTCTCCGTGCAGTCGCTGCAGCCCGAAGCCCGGGCGATTAACATGGTCACGCTCACCGCCAAGAACACCTCCATGTCAGTACACAAACACAGGGCGGCTGCTTTACTGTGTCTGCGTGTGTGCGGTTGCCGCAGTGAGATTTAAACAAGCTACGCAATGCGGAGGCACGGGGATTCCCCGATTATAGGCGGCGCATGGCTCAGACAACCGTGCGACTAAAACTCAGCACGTTGGAACAGTAGGGAGCACAGGCGGTGCATCGGCCAGTCACCTCGGTCAGTCAATCTATGGCACCTGAGTCTGTCTGCAAGGAAGCCTTCGATACTTAACGTGGCTTCAAGGTACACCTAGCCTGGCACAAGCGTCGTGGTGACGTCACCGCCACTTATTGACGATGTTTGTAATAATGGTTATCACGCTTGGACTTGCAATCCAGAGGCAGCGAGTGCTTCGATTGGGTCTCCCAGCGAGGCTGCAGCTGAAATAATGGGGCAAGTTCGCCCAGCAGCCGCAGTATGGATGGGCCCCCCACATTGGCAGATGGACTGAATGTGGGGGTAAAATGTGGTTACACCCACCTCATCCAACACAGCTTGGAATATAACACCCTCTCGACTTGAGAGCTACCTCTCATGGACGTCCTTCCTGCAAGCAAGCACTTGCCGAGCTGCACCTTTGTAGTGTTGCTTCAACTGAGAAGCAACGGCACCACGCGGGAGCCAGGTTGGGCTGTCATAGACGTGGATGCCCACCGATCAATCAGTCGCATGTGCTGTGCGATTTGTACGCCTGGCGATGGCTCTCTGTGGGTCCTGTGCACGCGCATATCCTTTATCATCTCTTGCCGCAGACGCCGCAGACGCCGCCGCGGCCGCGGGGGAAATGTTCGGCGGCATCTGCATAGGAGGGAGGCCGGCAACACACAGCTAGCTGTTCGTCTTTACTCCACCGCGATCGTCCGCATTGACATCCCTCACAAACTGTCGCTGGATTTTCCTTTTTTTTTATATATCATTACGCCGAAGTCCTCACTTGTAAATGACGCCGGGTGAAGTGTTGTTGTCGTCGTCGTAGTCGTAGTGTTTAACGAGTAGATGATGAATGTTGTGTGTGTGTGTCGGGTGTCCGTGCTAGGTGAAGGCAACTGTGTGTGTGTAACTGTGTCCGTGTGTGTGTAACTGTGTGTGTGTAACTGTGTAACTGTGTGTGTGTCGGGTGTCTGTGCTACGTGAAGGCAACTGTGTGTAACTGTGTCCGTGTGTAACTGTGTGTGTGTAACTGTGTCCGTGTGTGTGTAACTGTGTGTGTGTAACTGTGTAACTGTGTGTGTGTCGGGTGTCTGTGCTACGTGAAGGCAACTGTGTGTAACTGTGTCCGTGTGTGTAACTGTGTGTGTGTAACTGTGTCCGTGTGTGTAACTGTGTCCATGTGTGTAACTGTGTGTGTAACTGTGTGTGTGTAACTGTGTCCGTGACTGCGTCCGTAACTGTGTGTGTGTAACTGTGTCCGTGTGTGTGTAACTGTGTCCGTGTGTGTAACTGTGTGTGTAACTGTGTCCGTGTGTGTAACTGTGTGTAACTGTTTGTGTGTGTAACTGTGTGTGTGTGTAACTGTGTGTAACTGTGTGTGTAACTGTGTCCGTGTGTGGAACTGTGTGTGTAACTGTGTCCGTGTGTGTAACTGTGTGTGTGTGTAACTGTGTGTAACTGTGTGTGTGTAACTGTGTCCGTGTGTGGAACTGTGTGTGTAACTGTGTGTGTGTAACTGGAGGACGTGGAGCTGAGTGGACTTGCCGATGACTGGTACCAGCGGTGTCAAGATCGGCCTCTGTGGAGGAGGCTCGTGAAGGACGCTACTGGGCAGTTGGAGGCAGTCGCCCTCCAACAACAACGGAGGGCGGAGGAGCGACGCTCAGAACAACGAGCGGAGCGCCGGGTGGCTAAAGCACAGCAGGTTGGCACAGTAGGGGGCACAGGTGGTGCATCAGCCAGTCATCTCAGTCAGTCGACCCGTGGCACCTGGGTGGTGTAACGGTTAGCGCGCTGCGCTATGAACCCGGCGACACGAGTTCGATTCCCGCTCACGGTCAACACCCAGTTACGATTATCTGAACCAGTCCCGGGCCTCCCCTAGGTCGACTCAGCCTCAAATGAGTACCTGGTGCGGTGTGTAAACATCGCCACTGGGGAGACAAAGGCGGTCGGGCGTGGTGCTGGCCACCCACCCCCTCGTGTACCGTTCCGGCCTTCATAGGTGCTCGCTAACAGCACTTGCCCCTACAGTCTGTTAAGGCTATACGGGGGATCTTTGTTTTTGTGTAACTGTGTCCGTGTGTGTGCGTTTGAGTGTGTGTGGGGAGCAGTAGCGTAGCGGTCAGCGCGCTGCGCTACGAACCGGGCGAGTTCGATTCCCGCTCACGGCCACCAACAGCAGTGACGATTATCTGAACCGGTCGTGGGCCTCCCCTGGGTCGACTGGAGAGGCCTACCCACCTGCTGGGAGGCCTACCCACCTGCTGGGAGGCCTACCCACCTGCTGGGAGGCCTACCCACCTGCTGGGAGGCCTACCCACCTGCTGGGAGGCCTACCCACCTGCTGGGAGGCCTACCCACCTGCTGGGAGGCCTACCCACCTACCGCTGGGAGGCCTTCCCACCTGCTGGGAGGTCTACCCACCTGCTGGGAGGCCTACCCACCTGCTGGGAGGCCTACCCACCTGCTGGGAGGCCTACCCACCTGCTGGGAGGCCTTCCCACCTGCTGGCAGGCCTACCCACCTGCCGCTGACAGTGGTACCTGGAGCGTGCTGACGCTCAGCTGATGTGTCACACCGTGGCGAACCCCGCAGCTAACTCATTCACGTGGAGTAGGCCAAGAAACGACATTCCAGTCGTGGGCTGAGCTCAAGAAGGGCAAGCTCGAGCACTATCCTGCGGCGGGGAAAGGAGGCGGTGCAAGCGGCTCAGCCGAGCCCACAACAGCCAAGAATCTGCTGTCTGGGAGAGGGGGGTGGGTGCTGTTAAACCCTAGCACATGGGCGAGAAGCCGTGCATGTGTTACGAGTGCGGCAAGACGTTTTTCTCACGCTCGGCCTACAAGTATATATTTTTCTATTCCACTTGTGTGTAAATCTGTGTATACCCCGGATATTTTAGAGATGGCAATTCCCCTGCTGTGTCCTACTGCTGTCCCTCCCGGCCATATCTAGTGCCACACTCAACTCTACAAACGGCTACCCTCGTTATTTTGCGTCAATACTTGTTGCTCGATTTGCCACTACACCTGCAAATGAAACAGTTCATAGACACTTCTACACTCCATCATTGTATCCTTTTAAACCCTATCTTTGTCCCATTACTTCACCAGCACTCCTTCCAAACTTCATTCTGCTCTTAAAAATAACACCATCTGCGAGCTGCTGCTATTCGTCCAAGGTTCGCCGCTCTTCATCCTTTCACAGAAAATACTTATGCAAACTGTTAATTCTACTTTTCTTATTCCTGGGTGGTATTGAGCTTCATCCTGGCCCAAATGAAAAGAGCTCGTATAATTCTGTAGATTTTTCTGGCAGGAAAGGTGTTGGTGTTCTACATGTCAACATCAGAGGGCTTGTGATTAAATTAAGTCAACTAAAACTAGAAGTGGCAAATCTTGATCCGGACATTTTTTGCCTAACAGAAACATTTCTCACTCCTGCCGTCAATGACTTGCAGATTACGATTGAAAACTACAACCTTTTTCGGCTTGACCGAGGATCTAAAGGAGGTGGAATTGCCATCTATGTTCGTAACACTATTGCATGTTCACCAGCTCACTCCTTGTTTAAAAAATGTTGCTTTGAAGGTCTGGCTCTCAGAATAACTCTCCCAAATAATCAACAGTTATTGGTAGTGTGCTGCTATAGACCGCCTTGTGGGAAGGATGTTGAAGCTGCATCGGCACTGAGAGAGCTTTTTGGGGGCCTCCCTAAAGGTGAAATAATTTTAGTGAGTGATCTAAATTGGAATTGGCTAAACCCGCCGGCCGTGGCCACAAATTTTACAGATGAATTTAACTTGTTTCAATTAATAAATGTCCCCACAAGACCCAACCTAAAAAATCCGGGACAGTCAACTCTGCTTGACGTCCTATTGACAAATGCCCCTCACAATTTCGCACTGACTGGTGTTCTGGGTAATAACCTTAGTGATCACTCCTTCATTTTTGGTGTGAGATCATCAGCCAGACCCAAAGCCCCCCCTAAAATTGTTGAGAAGCACTCTTTGAGGCACTTCAGCACTCAGGCATTTACAAATCATGTGCTTCACTCGGATATTGATAAGGTCTGTGATATCCCCAACCTGACTACAGCTTGGGAGACTTTCAGGTACACGTTTCTCCAAATTCTTAACAAACATGCTCCGTTGGTTAAATTTAAAACTAAAGGCAACCGCCCACCATGGTATGATGCTTTGATTAAAAAGCTCATGAAAACTAGGGACAAGGCTTGGGCATGTGCTCAGAAAAGTAATTTGGTAAATGACTGGGTAGAATACAGGATTTTAAGGAATAGATGCGTAAAAAAAATACGGCATGCAAAAAATGCCTATTTTTCCTCCACTCTCCTGGAATCACATGGAAATGCCAGGATTTTTTGGAAAACAATCAAATCTATCGAAAAGGCATCCAAAACAGAAAATCTGCCCGTTGAGCTTCACCGAAATGGGGAATATTTTTCAGATCCCCAAAAAATAGTTGACAATTTTAACCTTCATTTTTCTGAAGCTGGTAATCTTTTTGATAATGTATTGGGAGTCACCCCTGCTCCTGCAAATTCCTACACCCCTGTCCAAACATTAAACGAATTTAGTTTCCAACCAATCCACGAAAGTAATGTTCTGAAACAACTGTCCTACCTCAAAGGGTCCTCCTCTACCGGAGCAGATAGTTTTCCTGTCTTTGCTCTACTAACTGTTGGTCACCTAATATACAAACCTATAGCCCACATTTTCAACCTGTCCATCAAAGAAGCATCAGTTCCTCTAGAATGGAAACATTCCTATGTCCGTCCACTTCACAAAGGGGGCCCTAAAGATGATCCCAATAACTACCGACCTATCTCAATTTTGTCCCCATTGATGAAAATTTTTGAAAAATTATTGAACTACCAAATTAGCAGTTTCCTGTCCACCAACAAGCTACTACATCTAAAACAATCTGGGTTCCGGAAAAAATACAGCACCACATCTGCTGCATTAGACTCTTTGAATCAAATTAACAATAGCCTTGATAATAAGCAGTACTGTGCCTGTCTTTTTCTTGACCTGTCCAAAGCTTTTGATACAGTTGACCACAACACCCTGCTTAGTAAACTATGTTGCCTCGGTTTTTCCGAGAACACAGTACAATGGTTAAAAAATTACCTCTTTTCTCGCACCCAAACTGTATTCACAGATGGTCGGAGGTCAAACAGTGTTAAGATAACAAAAGGGGTTCCACAGGGTTCCATCCTTGGCCCCCTCTTGTTCTCTCTTTATGTCAATGACTTGGGCACTGAACTGGATAATTCCAGGGTAAATCTTTTTGCAGATGACACGATACTGATTACTGCTGGCCGCTCTCCGGATGACGTGATGGCTAAGCTCCAGGGTGATTTCAACAAACTACAACATCAGCTAGTTTCTCTTAAACTAGTCCTGAATACCTCCAAAACCAAGGTGCTATGCTTCTCTCCGGGACTAAAGCAGGAAGTTATTTTTCCCCAATTACATTCCTTGAATAATTAGCAAATA